AGCTGTGGATCTCTTTTGAGGAGGCTACTTATTTCTGGATATTAGGATCATATGCCAGACGTAGACATGAACTGCTCAGATTTCCCCTCCGAGAAAGGGCTCATGGCAGGAGTGTGGTTAGCTGACAGCCTCCACTGATCAGATTTGCCTCCGATCTTGAACTGAGGTCCTGGTTTCCTTGGAGTGACCCCAGTCGGTGACTCACCATGTGGTACAAGATCCTATTCCTTTCTTTTTCTTTTTTTTTCTTTTAAAGATTTTATTTATTTAGTCATGAGAGACCCAGAGAGAGAGGGGCAGAGACTCAGGCAGAGGGAAAAGCAGGCTCCCTGCAGGGAGCCCGATGCGGGACTCGATCCCGGGACCCCGAGGTCATGCCCTGGGCTGATGGCAAATGCTCAACCCCTGAGCCACCCAGGTGTCCCCAGATCCCCTTCATTTCTTCCCTACGCGGGATTCTTCTAACATCCTTCAGACCTCCCCACTGGGCTGACAGAGACTTTGTCAGATCTACATCATCTTTTCCTAATCCTCCTGTAATCCTGCCTCCTTTTTCCTTTCACAAATGTTACTCCCTGATAAGCCTTCCACACCCCTGTATCTGTCTCAGTATCTGCTTTCCAGAGGACTCAGCTGACACAGATGGTATGTTGTTAGGTCTAAGAGACCTTTCATCCGTAAAGGGAATGGATATTTTAGAACTGGATTTGGGTTGGTACCAGCAGAATGTATAACCACCCTGGGTGCCAGGGACCAAGAAATACTTCCCAGTCTGCCACACAAATTAAATCAGCTTGTGTTTCTTCCTATTCTTCTTGGCACTGATAATTGCCAATTGTGTTGGTATTATATAACATGGCTTGAATGTTCCCACTGGCTTTCTCAATGAGTGACCTGTTCAATTAATTAAGAGTACGATGAAGACAAGGTCACTAAATCCATTTCCAGCCAGCCAATTAGTTTCAGTCAAGTTTCCTGGCCATAAGCGGACTGTTATCCATTCATATATGGATTCCATAAGCCTCTTACCCACACACGGAGTCATAATGTAGGCCAATCACTTCTCAACCACCTGGTAGACTGTCACCCTTCTCTTGGGTCACTTAAAAAATGCCCTATATTTGGTGTTGAGTGAGGAAGTCCTAATGTGGTTGGTGACCAGTTCTTAACTTGAAGCCATGAACGGAAGGGGATAGTATTCCTTTTTTGGCATGGAAGTATCTCCTAATTCCTTATGAGAACAGTCTTTCCAAATCATCCATCCACCCATTTGACTATCAAGTTTTTGGTTTACGGAAAAGCGTTGCTACTCGCCCTCCACTTGGCCAGACTCTTGGCAGCTACACCCACAGTGCCACATTTCTGAGAAACCTGCATGCAGCTTCTTCAGTAGGAACTACCAGGCAGGCACCCCCGAGGGTCTAAAGCATTGCTCGTTCCTGTTCTATTCGTCTTCCATGTCAGAAACATCAAGCTTCCACATCTTTAACAAGTGAAGCCATGGAAGCAGGGGCCCCGGGGTCAGACAGTCTTGGGGTTCAAATACAGATTCTCCCACAGACTGGCTGTGTGATCTGGGTCCATTTACTTAAGCTCTCTGAATCTTAGTTCACACCTCTGTTCACACCTCTCTATACCTATAATATAGCGCTATTATGAAGATTATATGAAAGAATATTTGTAAAGCACTTCTCTAATACTGAGTTCTTACTCTATTTCCAACATTAAAATATTATTTTTATGTATCAAGCCTTTGGACAGATGATATTTGTACTGCCACATCCTCATTATAACCATTTGCCTTGGTAAATGGATTCTGACACAATCCCATCCTTGAACAAATGTAACTTTGAACAAGACCTTCTTTCTTTGCTTACCAGATTGTTCCTAAGTTTGATGACGTCTAAAAGCCTTAAATATAAAAGTTGCTCAAGCAACCTGACTGTAATAGAGCAGTTTGGATCCAGATGTCATGTTTGAAATGTGGCCATATGATTAAATATTAGCTCTCTGGTCTTAAAAGATTGGTACATTGGGTATTTGGGGCCTTGGCAGTTCAGCCCTGGAATGACTGGATACCCTTAGAATCAGGACCGTACTCAGCTGGCCCCATAAAAGAGAAGGTGCAAAAGCTAGCTCCCCAGTACAACGGCAGAGGCCAGGGTATACACATAGCCTGTCTGCTGCTGTTGTGCTGACTCAGAGAGGCTCCTCAGAGGTGCTATTTGCCCCCTAAGCAGAAAGGAAGGGGTCCATTTCCTTGGGGCCCATAGGCTGGCAGACAAGTCAATTCTCAGCTTTTTCCCCATAAAGCCTTTATTTCTCAGGGACTGTCTCTTTCCCTCTCCACTGGACTGAGAGACGACTGAAGTCTATTAAAGCTTGCATTCTTTAGGTAAAATTCCACTCATCTGGAGAGAAAATATTCTGGCACTGTACCTAGAATTAAGTGGTCAATCTTTATTTTTTTCAATGTCCATTTGCATTGAGGATCTTCTCTTTTAAAAAAGATTTTATTTATTCATGAGAGACATACACAGAGAGTGGCAGAGACACAGGCAGAGGGAGAAGCGGGCTCCCTGTGGGAAGCCCAATGTGGGACTTGATCCCAGGACCCCAGGGACCACACTCTGAGCTGAAGGCAGATGCTCAACCACTGAGTCACCCAGGTTTCCCCAAGTGGTCAGTCTTTTTTTTTAATTTTTTATTTATTTATGATAGTCACACACAGAGAGAGAGAGGCAGAGACATAGGCAGAGAGAGAAGCAGGCTCCATGCACCGGGAGCCCGACGTGGGATTCAATCCCTGGTCTCCAGGATCGCACCCTGGGCCAAAGGCAGGCGCTAAACCGCTGCGCCACCCAGGGATCCCCGTGGTCAGTCTTTAACTGAATCAAATCACGTATTTTCTCCTTTTATTCATCTTCATTACTATTGGTTTCTGTTTTCATATATATATTTTTTTCTTTCTTCCCCCTGCAAGTATTTTCTCCCAATCTGTGATTTGTTTTGCATTCTTTTGTGACTTTTGAAGAACACAACTGTAATTTTGATGATATCTTATTTTTGAAATTGCCATTTTATGACTCATGCCTTTGGTATTGTATCTAGAAAATCTTTGTCAAATGTAGGGTCACAGAGATTTTCTCGTCTGTTTTCTTTGCAAAGTTTTGTGGTTTTAGGTTTTCAGATTTATGTCTATGATCCATTTTGAGTTAATTTTTGTATATGATATAAGGATTGAAATTCATCTCACTGCATGGATAGCTGTTTGTTCTAGCATCATTTGTTGAAAATATCATATCCTTTGTCAAAGATCAGTCATTTACATACGTACTGATCATGCTAATACAACATGGTCTTTATTATGGTAGCTTTATAAAAAAATCTTGAAATAAAATAATGCTAATTTTCCAACACGTTCATCATTTTCAAATTTGTTTTGGCTATTCTAGACTCTTCGCATTTTCATATAAGTTTAAAAATCTATTTTCCAATTTCTAGCGAGAAGTGCCTACTGGGATATTGATTGTGGTTAATTAAATGGAAAGGAAAAAGTACACAGCCTTTGTCACCAATTCAACGTCAGTTCTTCCATCTCAGGAACAGGAAAACCCATAGCCAGCCCATAATGACTAAAGTTATATAGATCTCAAAATACCAGTGCCTGGATATTGGTTGAGCATAAATTAGGAATGGTCACAGGGGCTGGAGTGGCTTTTTTTTTTAAATATTTATTTGAGAGAGAGAGAGAGAACAGCAGAAGGGGTAGAGGGAGAGGGAGAGAGAATTTCAAGCAGACTCCGAGCTGAGCGCAGCGCCTGATGCAGGGCTCAATCTCAGGACCCTGAGATCATAATCTGAGAAACCAAGAGTAAGACATTTTACCAACTATGCCACCCAGGTGCTCTTGGAATGACTTTTCTAAATCAAGCCATAGGTAGAATGCCACAATTCCTAGGTTCACTGCCTTATGCTCAGCTCCTTCCATGTCACCAACCTCTTTCTGTTTTGGGGGTGATGCAGAAGGGGACAAGGCACAAGGTAGAAATGAACTATAGCTTTTAACAAGCTCCAGCTGGGGGCATGTGATCCTACTCACCTGAATGCTCTTCCCACATGCCCTCCACATCTTCATACCCTCCCTGACTTTCAAGACCTAGGCCAAGTCCCACCTTATCCAGGAATAATTCTCTGACCAATATGTGCCAGACATTATGCTGAGGGTTCTACACACATCATCTTATCGAATCCCTACAGTAATCTATGATGCACATATAATTATCCCTCTTTAAAGGAAACTAAGGCTCAGAGAAGTTAAATCTGTCCCCATGGCTTCAAAATGGCAGAGATAGGAAGGAAGCTCATATCTACATAACTCCAAAGTCATGTTCTTAAGCACTTTCTCTGTGATACCAATTCCCCAGCATCACTCCTTTTCTGACCTACAGTGGTTTGAACTTAGTCCGACTCAGTTGGGTTATTTCATATGCTTATAGAGTCATATGAAATGAGTAGATGCAGCATTTCCCCAACTCCATTGAAGGTTACTTGATGGAAGAGATGACATCTTGTACCTCTCCACCTGTCTTACGGGGTCTCTGGTATAGTGGGGTATACACTGTGACTCAACACTGTCTATTCACCGTGGGGAGGGGGAAACCACACTGGTCGAGTTCAGACAATAAGGAAAAAAATGAAAATATACTGAATACCAGAAACCATACTTCATTATTTTATTCACCCTATTTTGACCGACTCTATTTTAATGTTTTGTGAAAGGTACTGTCACCTTGGTAGAGAGTTTCTTTTGTTTCAGAAATTAATAACAATGGAGTGGCATGCCCAATTCTGCACACTGTGTGAGTGGTGGAACATAGAGTCCCTACACATTCCACTTCCCAGTGATAGTCCATTCCTACCATGCATAATTGGCTTTCTGATCCCAAGCCAGACCCTCAGTTAAATCTGGTTTCAAAAGGCAGCTGTTTTTTTCCCACTATTTTTCCTGAGTATATGTTTTGGGAAATTTAAGGCCACTAAGTAGATCTAAAGAGAGATGAGATTGCCAAGTTTCAAAAGGGCAGGAACAATCCTTGGCCTCACACCAATGAATGACAAACTGTTTAATGGAATGGGAGGAGTAAAAGTGGTGTCCCATGCAAAAACAAAACAAAACAAAACAAAAAAACTAGACCCAGAACAGATATAAAAACGGAGGAGCTGAGGAGTGGAGCCACTGTCAGGGAGAGGCTTGCTTCCAGTAGCTGTGGGGGCAACGGTGCTAGCTATCTCCTGCCAACATGAAGCTGCTGTTGCTGTGTCTGGGACTGATTCTAGTCCGTGCCCACGAGGAAGAAAACGATGTTGTGAAAGGAAACTTCGATATTTCAGAGGTAGAGTTAGCATGGTGTAGTAACTTCAGACCTTGGGGATGGCTTGGAGGATTCTGAAGCAACATGGCCCTACTGGAGAGCAGGAGTCCCTTGACATATTAGACAAAAAGGGTGGTTTCAGACTCTTAACTAAGAGCAATTGTACCATGTTAAAAGACGACAACATTTGGGGACCTCTATTCTCCCTGGAGGGATAGTGGAAAGAGCCCTAGATGTGGTACCAATTGACTTGAGTTCTAATTCTGTGTTCACGTCACCATTATGAGGTCACCCACAGGGCAAAGTTCAAGGAGACAAGTGATCCTGTGGTGTTCCCTCTCCTCTTTTCTTACCCAATTATTTTGCTGATTTATCGCAGATTTCGGGAGATTGGTATTCCATTCTCTTGGCCTCAGATATCAAGGAAAAGATAGAAGAAAATGGCAGCATGAGGGTTTTTGTGAACGACATTGAAGTCCTGAGCAACTCGTCTCTGATCTTTACAATGCATACAAAGTAAGTATGGCCTTCTTCACTTGGGAAAGGAGACACGAGAGTCTGAATATCATGTTGGAACTCTGTGTGCATGAGCATGTGTGCACACACGTAAGGGTGTACCCATACATTCTGGGTCTCTATTCAAAATCAGAGTCCACTATCTGATACTGATTGGACGTGGAGAACCCAGGCCTCTTCCAGATTCAGAGATAAGAATCATGACAGAAATAAATTAAAATAGGAGTAGAGGAGGTAAGTAGAAGGTACCAGAATCGTAGGTAGTATGGCAGTACAGCATTAATTTGGAGCACTGGATTTGGAATTGACAGCCTCTCTCTTTAATGTCTCTCTTACTAGCTGTGTGACCAAGAAATTTCATCTGTTTCCACCTCAATTTTCCCTTGGGTAAAGAGAATGATACTAATTCCCTCTTTTTTTTTTTTTTTTTTTTGCAAGGACCCTGTGAGTTAATGTTTGTAGAGCACTTATGTGAGAGGCTGGCACATGTGAGCACTCAGCTAATTATCTAGACAGGTAGTTGTAGTAATAGTAATAGTGGGAAGTAGTAGCAGAATAACAATAATAGAAGCAGTTGGCCCCTTCTTAAAGTATCACATAAAGTGAAATAATGTAAATAAAAGCTCTTTGGAAATTGTACCTCCAAAATGTTCAACAGTTAAGTGGAATCAGAAACTCAGGGGTAGAGGGTGAAGGAGCTAGCCCATCTATATCTCTTGGACATCAGCTTATTCTGTTTTACAGAGTGAATGGAAAGTGTACTAAAATTTCTCTGATTTGTAACAAAACAGAAAAGGATGGTGAATATGATGTTGTGTGTAAGTAAATTTAAAAAGTCTTTCTAAATTCTACTTCCAACTTCAAGAATTTACTAAACCCCAATATCTTCAGGATCTTGACCAATTTCTGATCAATGTTTACTCACATGATATAATGGGAGCCATGTAATAGATAATATCACGAATCTGGAAGAATCTTGGGCATAAAAGCCAAAGCCTGGCACATCATACTATCAGACAAAGAAGGTAGTTTGATTATATGTACCTCCAGCAAGGAAAGAAAATAGACAGACAAACAAAAGACAAATGATGAGACAGCTTCTCGTTCCCTGCCCACTCTCTGATGATGTCTAGTGGCCATTGACATAGGACATTGCTTAGAGTATAGTACTGGGTATGTAATGCCAGTGGGGTTTATAGAGAGGACAGAGACACATAATTGGCAGAGATGGCCTCAGGGAGGATGATAGAGCATAAATTGCTACTATAGCTAAATTTTTCTACCACCAGTAGTCATTGTACCAGTATCCCTTGGATGTTGCCCCATGAAGCCCTGGGAGATGTAAATGAAGGCATTAGATATCACTCTCTATCTCTTCCATGATATACACTTGAATTTGTTTTGTGAGTGAGAATAGGTAAAGGGTTTCCTCTGCTTCTTGTGGACCAAGCAAGCTGAGTTGTGTTCTGTTTCCTTCACAGATGATGGATACAATTTATTTAGAATAATTGAAACAGACTATGAGGACTATATTATATTTCATCTTGTTAATACCAACCAGGAACAGGCCTTCCAACTGATGGAGCTCTATGGTAGAGTATTTTCATGCTGACACTCATCGTGGGGTAGGGAGGGCGAAGAAGGAAGGCAAGCAGTTCTCCCAATTTTATCCTGGAATGTCTCTCCTCCCCTGCAGACAGATGTTCACTTTTGGTAATCCCCCAGGCTTGGTGATGGGAAAATGATAACATCTCTCATTGTCCCATAAGCTATAGTCAAATTCAAGACAGGTTATAACCCATCCCCAAGACTTCTGCCTAAGCACCCAACCAGTGCTGTCCGTTTTCCCATCCATCTGGAGCCACCCCTCATGAGCCTCAGTGACATACAAAAGACACAGCAGTTCCTGTTGCTCTTCCCACAGCCCGAAAACCAGATGTGAGTCCAAAGGTCAAGGAAAAGTTTGTGAGATATTGCCAAGGAATGGAAATTCCTAAGGAAAACATACTTGACCTGACCCAAGTTGGTAAGTTTAGCTCTTTCTGGTTTTCCCTTCCTAAATTCCTACATTTACTGAGGTAAAAAAAATCAAGAGAAGGCAATACCCCCAATCAGTCCCCTTTGTTTTACCCTGAAAAATCATTTGGTTTGTCTCTGGAAAATAAACCGGGGTCAGTGTCTGCATGTGCTCTGCCTCCACAGATCGCTGTCTCCAGGCCCGACAGAGCGAAGCAGCCCAGGTCTCCAGGTTGGTGATCTCTGGTGAAGAGGGTGTCCCAGGGATCCATGACTTCCAAAAGCATTAGGGATTTGTGTCCAAAGATGGCAATAAAAATAATTTGGTGAGGAAACTTGTGGGGAGAACATGAGATGTGGAGTTGGAGGAACTAGGTGTAGGACTCATTCCTATCATGAGCTTTGTTGTTGTTGTTGTTTTAAAGATTTTACTTATTTATTTGACAGAGAGCACAAGTAAGCAGAATGACAGACAGAAGGAGAGGGAGAAGCAGGCTCCCTGATGAGCAGAGAGTCCAACATGGGGCTCAATCCCAGGACCCTGAGATCATAACCTGAGCTGAAGGCAGACGCTTAACTGACAGAGCCACCTAAGGGCCCCTACCATGAGCTTTTGAACAAACAACCTAAGCAATTACAAGCAGAACAATGATGTTTACCCTACAGAGTTACTGTGTGGACATAATGCTGGTGAGAGGCCTTAGTAATTGGTAATGTGCTAGAAATCATTAAGACTTAAAATATGAGGGGCACTGGGTGGTTAAGCCTCTGCCTTCAGTTCAGGTCATAATCTTAGAGTCCTGGGATCAAGCCCTGCGTCAGGCTCTGTGCTCAGCAGGGAGTCTGCCTCTCTCTCTCTCTCTCTCTCCCTCTGCCCCTCCTCCCACTTGTTCTCTCTCTCTCTCAAATAAATAAATAAATAATTTTTTAAAAGACTTAAAATTTAAAATAGGGAAAGAGTAATAGGGCATGAGTATGAAACTCACACCTATTTCTGTGTTTGTGGTCTATCCTCCAAGCCCAGGAGGCCATCTTACGCTCGAGTTTATGACAAACATTTCATCCTTTGATCTCTGCACATCCTTAACTTCTCACCTGAGAATAGAGCTGTCTGAACTTCCACTGTCTTCTAAACTGGAAAATATACTGAATTTTCTCATTGGTTTCCTACCTTAGATTTATTGTGGAGCGTCGTTCAGATAATGTGGCTTCCATAAACTAAGCATTGAATAAAAGGTAGCTCTGGCTTTGCCATTCTCTCTCAATTTATCAAAAACTCTTTAAAACTTCTTGTGCTGAAGATGGTAGAAACACGCCTAGGATCCTTCCTTGCTTCTTTTCTTTTTTCCCATAGATTCAGGTTGGGGAAGATTAAGATGAGATCAGCAACAGGAGAAAAAGCATTTACTCATTGCCCTCCCTCTGCTATTTTGGCAAGTAACGTAGGTTAAAAGACAGGTTGACATCTCCTTCTTCACATTTGTCTCTGAAATAGAAATTCTTTTTGCCCTCAATTCAATCCAAGAAGTGCTTAATATGTTTCTGTGTTCTCTTTTTCATCTGCTTATTTAGTGCTGAGTGAATGCTTCCTCGTTTGGGCTCCAGGATCTTCCCTTCCATGGCCCCACGCCATCCAGTAACAGTTCTTACCTGACTTCCATCATTATCACTTATGAAAACATTATCTCTGTCTGCATCTTCAGGATCTTTCCTAATTGTCTAGGAAAACTCATCAACCAACCAAGAATGAAAGATTTTCTACAAATTTTTGAATCTCCTTGTCATAACGCAGGAGAACCCCACCATGAATAAGATTTTCCTCTACCTGGTCAATAAATGATTAGCCCTGCAGTCCTGTGGTTTGTCTTTGTGTATATGAGAGATACGGGGCCCCCAACAAGTTAAGGAATGGGGGGGGACCTCCTTGGCTCTGAACCCATAATCCTTCTTTAGCTTCTCAGAATCATCCCTGAGTTTCTCCCTCCTCTATAGTAATTCTGTGAGTGCTGCTTGCCCTTTGATTTGCCTAGTTCTTAGTGACCTGCCCATAGTTTGCCCCATCCTAGAATTCTCTTTTTCAATGGAGTGCTGAGAGGTGCTGCTGAGCCTGGTACCAGCTCAACGTGTTTCAGGACACGTCCCCATATTTCAGCTCTTTTATGTCATTCATTCTGTGAGATGGTCAGTGTCCTTCCATACACTTAGGGGAGATTCTTCAATCACTGCTGTTATCCACTGCGAACATAATGAGTAAAATTCCATGAAGTATGAGCAATCTGTACTTAGTACAGTTAGGAGGCATCAAGGAGGCAAATACTATTACCTTCTTCTTTGGGGAGCTTACTGGCTTTGGGGAAAAGAAAATGAAAGATCTTCCTCCACTTAGAATCCTTTTACAAGAGTGTTCAAGTTACATATGAGTGTTGGGTTATCCTACGAAAACAATGACTCCATCATTATGGACATAAGATTAATGAGGGAAGGCTTTATAGGCATGTGATTCAACTCCCCACATCTTACTCTGCCTCCGGGTCAGAAGAATAAGTTAGGTTCAGACTTATTGCTCAGCCTTAAGCACCTGGTCTGGTTGCCTGAAATATGACAAAAGGATATGTAGAATGTCAACCAGTCATGCTATTTTTTAAAAAATTTGTATAGTTGACAATGTTACATTAGTTTCAGGTGTACAACACAGCGATTCAACAAATCTACCAAAATGGAGTAGCCATCTCCCTGATGCCAGAACTCAAGGGAAATCTAGGACCTCTCACTTTTAAATGTTTGCACTGTCAGGGATAGAACAGCTGACACCCAGATGGGCATGGCTTAACGTACCCTTCAGAATGCTTAAGACATTGCCAATAATAACAATGCAAGGAGCGCCACAATGATTACAGGAGATGATTGGGTAGTGCCACATGTCAGCCAAGAGGGAGGCACAAAAAGACCCTCTGCTGTTCTCAGGTCAAGATGGCAGCTTGAGCTCCCACTGGAACCTACCCTCCAACCCAGACAGTTTATGCCAATGAATCAATAAATGTTAAGAATACTGGAAATCAAGGAGTGAAGATGCCTGTAGATCAGAAGCAGAGCAGTCTTTCTGGAAAGGGAAGGAAAATGAAGGGAAAGGAAGGAAAGGGAAAGAAAGGAACAATGTAGGCAAATAGGCCAGAGCAGCCCTTTCCTCTGGATTCTGAGTACAGAGCTGGGTCACTCACACAGGGTTGGGAGCAAGGGTCACAATGCCCAATGGGGTCACAGGAAGAAGCTGTCTGCTTGAGGCCTGCAAAGGAGATACCATCATCCATTTGAGAAGAAAAAAAAAAAAACAACAACCCACACAACAAACGACAACCCCTGCGATTCTGGAACCAGCCTGACTCCCACCACTAGGCTTCAATTTTGTCACAGGCTGGCCTGATCCTCACAGCTAGACCATGATGGTTATGTTAGACATAAACAATCTCATAAAACATCAACATCAGACAAGGTCACTCCGAGATCATAAAAACAAGGTCATTGCACAATCTACAAAGGTGCCCCTCTCTCTGCTAAAATGAGTGAATTCTACTCTTTTATCCTCATTCTCATCTCCACTCCTTATAGATAAGATTTACTAAGATAAGCTATCAGTCTTGCCCCTACTTTCTGACAGTATCCAATCTAGAGCTTCCCCAGATACTCCCAAATTCTGTAGTGGGCTCTTCCTAACACTCTTGCTGAGACACTCATGGTTCCCCATGGCACACGTTCTTCCTCCCTGCAATAATAAACCTAGGTTGTTCAACTCCAAGTATGTTTCTGGTGATCTTTGGTTGAAGAGTATTACCCTATTTTAGGATTAGAACCCAGACCCACTCCGTGCATGCGCTGCCTGGAATTCTGGGAGGCACCAAGATAAATCACAAATGCAGGGTCTGGTTTAATGCTGTGCCTCCTTAGGGACTAGGACACAGGATGCTTCCAAAGAGTTTGGCTTGAGCAACTAGGAGGATGGAATTGCCATTTTCTCCAGTCCGCTGGAGGAACCAATGCAGTGGGGAAGGATAAATATCTCAGGTAGGGACATTTCATTAGTTTATTCAGCTTGCCTACTGTTAAAAAAAAAAAGACCATACCATAATCCAGTATGGTTTAATGAAGACAGAATTAATTTTGTTCTCCCATGAACAATCCAAAGTGAGCATTCCAAGTTGGCTGGCAATTCTGTTCTTTCTAACTTGTGTCTTCAGCCCTAGGACATCGTCCTTATCCGTGTGGTTAAGCTGAGTTATGATAAGTAAAAGCAAAGAGAATGAAACATGGTCTTATGCCCACTGTCCTCTGTGGCCCCTGGCTCTGGGAGGTTCTTTCTTGTCCACTGTACCCCCCAGCCATACCCGCGTTCTGCTTGTGAAAGCTTGGAGAAATTATTTGAGGATTAAAGAGTCACATGCTTTTGCTCCAGGCCAGATTAAATTTTTTTTTGGTAATGCAAATTCTTCAAAGACTTAGTAGGCTTCTGTTGTATTTGGCTCTTGACTTCTCCTGCATAGATAACCAGATCCTCAAAATCTTATTTAGGCATAGATTTAAGCCTGGAAACTCTGGGATTTTCCTGACTGGCACTTATGTGTGGCTCGCCCTATCTCCTTTTCTTAATTTAAAGAAGGCTAATTTGAGCCAATCTGAAACAATGGATTTGCTTGTTTGGAGTGGGCCCTTAAAGCCTTCTTCTTTGCCAGCCGTCTTGCAAACTTTTACAGCACAGCATTATGTCCTCCTGAGACTATACTTCCACTTTACAGCCGCCACTTACAACCACTTCACTTTGAGGTAAACAGTGACCCTCACTGAGATTCTGCTCTTTAATGAGCTCCCAGAGATGCCAGTGCTGTGCCATGTGGGGTGAGGGATGAGACAGGTGAAGTGAAACTATTCATTTTAATTTCTTTAGGGCTTCTAGTCATGGATTATTTTGCTCCACCTGCGTGCTGGAACCTCCCAGTTGTAGTTCCCAACTCCCATGAACATATTCTTGCCCATGAATGGTTGCTAAAATAAGTGTTTTTGTTAGGGTATGAGGGCTCAGACCACCTAGTCCATCATCTTGCTGATGTTGACCCAGATTATTTCACCAAAAAGACACAGAGAGAAAGACATCAAGTTTTCAAACCTATTTAAAAATTTTCTAGAATATCTAATGGAATCAGGAATCATATATGAAAGAGGGTGGAATCCGCCACCACCAGAAGCGACGCTACTACTTCTTGGTAACTTTGTTCAGGAACTGGAGGGCCGAGCTCACAGCCATGTCCCTCCAGGGATTCTCCACCATGATATTTAAATTCTAAGTTGTTTTTTATTAGTTTCTTATGAGCCTACTATCATCTCACTTCCCATTTAACACCTTCTTAGGGTCTGAAAACAAATTGAATTAAGGAGGAGAAATAAATCTGCTGGGATCCCTGGGTGGCGCAGCGGTTTAGCGCATGCCTTTGGCCCAGGGCACGATCCTGGAGACCCAGGATCGAATCCCACATTGGGCTCCCGGTGCATGGAGCCTGCTTCTCCCTCTGCCTGTGTCTCTGCCTCTCTCTCTCTCACTGTGTGCCTATCATAAATAAATAAAACAAAAAAGAATTTAAAAAAAACTTTAAAAATATTTTAAAAAAAGAAATCTGCTGCAAAGAGCCCAGAGAACAATATAAATGCAGAAAAGTACAAATCAGGATTACTCAGTAGATCATCTGTGCCACGTTTCCTTACAGGAGTTAAAAATATATGCAAATAAACTCTGTGCACCAAAATACAGTGAGGAGGGGATCCCTGGGTGGCGCAGCAGTTTGGCGCCTGCCTTTGGCCCAGGGCGCGATCCTGGAGACCCGGGATCGAATCCCACGTCGGGCTCCCGGTGCATGGAGCCTGCTTCTCCCTCTGCCTGTGTCTCTGCCTCTCTCTCTCTGTGACTATCATAAATAAATAAAAATTAAAAAAATTTGAAAAAAAAAAACAAAATACAGTGAGGAAACTCTATTTTGTCTTCCAGTTGGACAGGAGAAAGGGGTCCCGGATTGATTTTCTGTTTTGCTGTAACAAATCACCACAGGTTTAGTGGCTTAAAACAATGCAGGTTTTGAAGGTCAGAGGACTGACATGGCCCAGTGGGCCAAAACAAAGTGAGCCCCAAGTCTTTAAATCTATTCAGATCATCTTCTACATCCTTTCTTAGAGTTTTAAAGTCTTCTCCTTAGTAATCTTCTTGTGTATTCTTGGCTGTTGATTCTGAATACTTTGGCTGTCTGTTTTTTTTTTTTTATTTTTGTAACCATTAGTTATTATCACGAGTTTTTATGGTTATAGAGTAATGTTACTGACTTTTGAATACTGATCCTTTAACAACCTTGATGACATTTTTATTAGTTACAATAAAGTCACTTCTAATACTTTATGGATTCTGTTGGTTTTATAGGTGTATGGTCATATTATCTGCAAATAATGTCAATGTATTTTTACAAATCCTAACATATCTCTTGCTCTCTCTCCCTTTTTTTCTCTCTTCCTTCTGTATAATGTTAGCCAGAACCCAGAACTACTTTAAACATTGAAACCAAACTTTCTATACCAGTGGTTGGCAAACCATGGCCCATAAGGCCAAATCCTTCCTGCTGCCTATTTTTTGTATAGCCCATGAGCCAAGAATATATTAAGAACACTAAATTTCAACCTCAATTAAGCAAAATGTTATCTGCCCCCATTCCATTATTCTAATAGACCTATATTAAAAATAAATTGTACTCCATAGATTTTTATATTTCATCCAAAAATGTGAACATGTGCCTTCTGTATTATTATATTAGTACTTACATAATGTCTTCGATTTTGCCTCTTGGCCTGCAAAGCCTAAAATATTTATCATCCAATTCTTAAGAAAAGCAGTTTCCCAGCCCCTTTTTCTATACATGGCCTCTCCCCTGTTATTTACTATAGTTATTCATACTGCCTTTCCCCCAAATAAACAAGTTTGTCTAACTGAACCCTGCTGAGTGCCTTCAGTAAAATGGGCATTTGATCACATGATTGTGGGATTAAGGAGATATTTTCAAGCTGTCCTGTTACTGCTGTCCTTCAAATATCATGACTAACTTGAGCATGAAAGGAGGAAATTTAGATAAATGTCAAATAAACTTCCAGAGTAAATATCAAACCAGGACACCCTGAGGTTATTTTGGGGTTTCAAGGACAAGGATGAAGATTCCAAATCTCTTCTCTTGGCTCAGAGGACTTTGTCATCTGATTCTCTCGTCCCAGGACAGAACTTCTGTGCAAACCATGCTCCTGGAAGCAAGCCCATCAAGATACTAGCTGTTGTTCTTAAAAATTAGCATTTTAGAAACACTGTTCTGTTGGTTTCAAAAAATTTATGATGGATCTATTTAGGTTATTGGAATAATAGACAATTACTGGCTAACCTCTTGGTAAAGACGGAGAACTGGGGTGCCAGGTTGTTCAGGAGAGCCTGGCCTGGGAGAGAAGATCTAGTCAGCAGCACAGACAATGATTATCCAGCTGCCAGGATTCCCACAGCCTGACACCACTACCTTCATGTTCCATGTTTCTGTTAAGCCTGAATTAGTTATGCATACAGTTTCCTTCAAACACCCCATGAGCAATCCATCTCTGGACTCTTGTCCTTGCTGTTCCCTTTGTCTGAAATACTCATGCCCCAGTTATCTGCATGGCCCACTCCCCTACCACCTTCTGGCACCTGAGTGTCATCCCTCCAGAGGACTCCTCCAAACCCCAAGTATCAAGCAGTGCCCTTGCTCCACCTTCTTTGACGGGCCTCTCCTATTTATTTGTTTATTGCCTGGACCCATTCCCTCAAGAATGTAAGTACAATGAAGTCAAGGAATATAATTTGTTCACCACATTAACCAACACCTTAAAGAGTGCTTAGCATGTCACAGGTACCTCGGGTTATTGCCTTAATAAGTGGGCTTCCCTGACCTTCACAGGAAGGACTGGAGAACCCATCTTCTTTCTCCTTTGCCTTGTCCTAATATTTTCAGGAGAGGGTCTCAGCTCAGACTGAAGAATGTGGGACCTTCAGAATCTTGCCCATTGAGGGAATCAGAGAGATGGGAGAGAGATTGCTTCATAAAACCTCTTCAGGGATGCCTGGGTGGCTCAGTCAGTTAAGCATCTGCTGTGGGCTCAGGTCCTGGGATCTCAGGGTCCTGGGATCAAATCCCACATTGGGCTTCTTGCTCAATGGAGAGCCTGCTTCTCCTTCTCCTTCAGTCTGCTGCTCCCCCTGCTTGTGCTCTCTCTGTCAAATAAATAAATAAATAAATAAATAAATAAATAAATAAATAAATAAATAAGTCTTAAACAAAAACAAAAACAAATCTCTTCGTAAAACACTGGGCTCTTGGACCAGGGCTTGGCTGTCCCTCACACACCTAAGAAGAGCAGGCCTAACAATCAACTCCTGAAAGAAGAACAAGGAAATCGATTCATGACCCACCTCCCCACCTCCTACAACTCTGGTCCCAGTGCTACCTCACTGTCATTTCTGTCCAGACTCCTGGGGGAGAGGGGGGGCTTGAAAGAAGTTAAGATTCAAGAAATTAGTGACATGGTAGGCACAGACTTGGCCAGATGGAAGGAGATGGATGTTTCTGAAATGTGATCCAGTCTTCAGAGTCTGAGGGCACCAGAGGTCTCTATATCTACAGACAAAAATCTAAGAGCAGCTTTGCAGGGTTCAGAAGAAAAGGTGGGACTGAGTACATGGGGAGCTTAGGGGTAGCCTTTACCTGTGCCGTACAGTCTCCTGTTCCCTCAAATCAGCTTGGCTGGTGTGACTTAGACTCTAGCAATACCTAAATATATGAACCTCCGCTCAATGAAAACAGATTACTACATTAGCAGTCATCTCGTGCGATATACATATTGCTATGCCTCTTCCTCAAACTGACAGCGGTGCCCACATGTCCACATTCCCTGAAGGCCAGGACAAGACGTGCAGGAAGCTTTCTCACCTTTGAGGTGCCATTCTCTATTCACCTTCTCTGTACTTTTTTCATCTCAGCTCTAATGCAAGGAATATAACAAGAATCCACGTATTTCTTCATCTATAAAAGTGGACTAGGAATAGTAACACCTAAATAGTAGGTTGTTGTAAAGATTAGTGAATATTGCAAAGCATTTAGAACAGTGCCTGACAGTAAGTACTATCAAAAGTGTTTGCTGTTATTACTCCTTTACTACATTTCTAGAGTCAGCTTGCTAATAACTTCACTGCAGTTCTTACACGCACCTGCACGTTTGAGCTTCATGCCTAATGTAATTTTATTCTATGATTCTTAATCAGATTTTAAGATAATGCTAACTTCAAGAGAGAGATAAGGGAGCTTGCACTTGAAAATAATTTAGGATAATCTGGTCTTTAGACAGTATCATTTAAATTAAAGAGAATTTATCTATAAAATCATTGTGCCATCATCTTTGGTTCCTTTTCTATTTTGCTAGTTTTCTTTTTCTCTTGGGCTGTGATATTTGTGTGTGTGTGTGTGTGTGTGTGTTAGATTTTATTTACTTGAGCGAGAAAGAGCACAGCAAGAGGAGGGGGAGTGGCAGGGAGAGGGAGAAGCAGATCCCCCCCCCCCGCCAGGAGCCCAGGTAGACCTCCGTCCCAAGACTCTGGGATCATGACCTGGGCTGAAGGCAGAAGCTTAACCGACGGAGCGTCCCAGGCACCTTGAAGGCTGTGAAGTTTGCGTTGGCCACCAAAGATTTCTGCTCCTCCTGGGCACGCTGAAGTTCCATGTGGCTCTGTGACTTGCTTTGATCAGCGAAGGGGGAGGGAAGTTCCAGGACTCCCGTGCTCTCGGGATTTTTCAAGCCCCCCAGGTGATTCACAAGAACAGCCAAAGTGGAAAACATTTATGTAAATAAAGGAGGAACGAGTTGGTTTCCTCACAAATGTTTAAACTAGAATCTCTAGATCGGTCCCTGCGGAGAGGGGATGCCCGGAGCGGCCCCGAACCCGGGGTTTGCAGTCGCCGGGAGTCCGCGGTGGGAGGAGAGCGCGCAGATTGGCCCTTGCAGATCGGCTCCGGCGCCCAGCGGAACCGGAGGACGGCTTCGGGCCCCTCCCGGGCGGCCTCGCAGCGCCGGGGCTCAGACGGGTCTCCCCGCTACCTTGAGAGATGCACCTGGGTGCGGCAGGTGCACGGGGGGCGGGGCGGAGCTCGGAGGCCGCCGCGGGCGCCATCTGGTGGCCGACTGTGCGCATCGCAGCCGCCGCCGCCGCCGCCCGGGCGTGACTCGGGAACCGCGCGCGTCCCGGGAGGGGAGGGGCGGGGTGGGGGGAGCGCTGCCGAGTCGGGGCGCAGAGGCCATGGCCACTTTGGGAGGCATCTTGCAGGTGGGCTGGGGCCCGCGGGGGCTTGCTCAGATTCTCTGCGGGCCGGAGACGCCAGGAGGCGTGAGGCTACAGAAGGCCTAAGAGGGGAGCCTGGTACTGATGCTGTTTAGAACCGGGGCGTCCGGAAGCCCCCAGACCCTTCTGGCCTCTTGGCACCTGCAGGAGTCGCAGAGTTCAGAATAAGCACCTGCGGGGGCCCTGTGCTGGGAGAACGTGCAGCCAGTGGGGGATTGGTTCGCCGCCGCCCACAAGTTTGTTAGAGTAGCCCCCCAAGGTTTGGGGGGAACCAGGGGCCTTCCGCAACCCATCTAACTAAGCCTAGAATGCGGACCCCAGAACCAGGATCTGGCTGGAATGAGTGTATTAGTTTGCAGTCTTCACTTCCAGCCAGCTGAGGCCAGCGCCTGTAGGAGCTGAGGGGTGCCGCCCGTTGGTGCCCAGGGTCGCGCCCCCCACACACTCAGGCCTGTGCACCCCGCGCGCGGCCAGGGCACCAGCTCTGGCTTCCACTCGCGGGCATTTCCCGCTGCACGTTGGAAGTGAAGATCACGTGCATACCATCCGAGGTTTCTACATGAAAATGCCCAGAAGTTATTTCCTATTTTTAATAGAAGTTGTCTCCAGGTGTGATTGTCAATCGACTGCACGGATTTCAAGTGTAACATCTGGTGGTTTTACGCAGCTGTGCCCGCGAAACGGCCTCCACAGGCAGGGTAGGGGGTACATGCCCTCAGCCCGGAGCGCTCTTGCAATCTCTCCCGCCCACAGGTGCCCCAGGTCCCACAGGTGCCTTAGGTGCCCCGGGTCCCATGCAACCACGGAGCCAAGGTCTGTCTCCAGAGTTGGCATTTTCTAGAGAGTTCTATGGATGCTGTCATCGGTGTGTACTCTTTTCTTGTTCTGGCTGCTGGCAGCCGGCCCCATTCCGATGAAGCCCGTTCACGTCGTGCTCGTGGACAGTCCGGTCCCTTTTCCTGAATAGTGTCTCTATGGGATGGGCATACCACACAGTCTCACTCACTCGGCCGTTGGCGGGCACTTGGCTATTACAGATAACTCGTGATGAACATTCGTGTGCGAGTCTGTTCCTGGACACCCTCCTTTCGGGCTGCACCCCGAGCGTGGGCCGTGTCCTAGGCCTATGTTTAATTTTTTAAAGAAGTGGATAGACTTTTCCAGAGGGGCCGCATCATTTTGCGCTTCCACCCGCAGTGGGTAAGACTTACACTTCCTCCGGGTCCTCACCAACACTTGGCATTTTATTTATTTATTTATTTATTTTTAATTTTTTTTTTTAGTTTATTTATGATAGTCACAGAGAGAGAGAGAGAGAGAGAGAGAGAGAGAGAGAGAGGCAGAGACACAGGCAGAGGGAGAAGCAGGCTCCATGCACCGGGAGCCTGACGTGGGATTCGATCCCGGGTCTCCAGGATCGCGCCCTGAGCCAAAGGCAGGCGCTAAACCACTGCGCCACCCAGGGATCCCAACACTTGGCATTTTAAATAGGAAGAATTATAATGTGTTGCACAGAACCCCAAGCTCCCCAACAGTTAGTTCTCCAGCATCCAGGCAACACACTCAAGTGCCCGTGGAAATGGAACCAGTAGCCAACCAGAGGGTTAGTGGGAATACTAAGCACAGCTGCAACTTTTTACCAAACTCTTTCCTCTGCCCTTAAATATCCCTGATTGTCCCCCTCCCGGGAGGCAGAGTTTGCTTGAGGTGCTCTCTCCCCTGTCCCTCGTGTTGCTTTCTTTCTTTAAAATAAAAGTTAAAGGGATCCCTGGGTGGCACAGCGGTTTGGCGCCTGCCTTTGGCCCAGGGCGCGATCCTGGAGACCCGGGATCGAATCCCGCGTCGGGCTCCCGGTGCATGGAGCCTGCTTCTCCCTCTGCCTGTGTCTCTGCCTCTCTCTCTCTCCCTGTGTGACTATCATAATAATAAAATTAAAAAATTAAAAAAAAAAAATAAAATAAAAGTTAAGGGCAGCCCTGGTGGCGCAGCGGTTTAGCGCCGCCTGCAGCCTGGGGTATGATCCTGGAGACCCTGGATCGAGTCCCACGTTGGGCTCCCTGTATGGAGCCTGCTTCTCCCTCTGCTTGTGTCTCTGCCTCTCTCTCTCTGTCTCTCATGAATAAATAAATAAATAAATAAACCTTTAAAAAATAAAATTTAAAAAATCTTTAAAAGAAAAATAAGAGAAGAGGTTAATTAGAAGCCATTTGGTTCAATTGGTGAAGACCCAACTTTCAGGGAGGAATGAATTCGTGCTCACAGAGGTACTCTGAGCTCCTTTGGTTGTTGCTCTAGCTTTTGGTATCTTTGCACAAAACCAGCCACGCTCTAGTTGAAAAAAGGGAAATGACAACTCAGTGTCCGCATGCAGCTCTTTGGCTGAGTTCTCCAGGACTGGGCAATCTCCCCCCCACCCCCAACTGCTTGATAATAATATTCATTAGATTCTGGAGGAAAATAGCCAATAATGGATCCATAAATTATACTACCTTTGCATTAGTTTTATTTGGTAAAAGGGAGATATTTGGAAATTGGGCCTTTAAGATTTTGTTTGCACCTTTTTTGTGTATTTGTGTGTGGTCCATGTACATTGTAAATGTGGGATATCCTCTCTAACCTTGAGTGTTATTGCTAAAGTTAGTTTGTAAAAGAGCTCTAGGTACTTGGTTTAAAGGCGAGCGCTTGCAAGACTTAGCCATTCTAGGGATCCCTGGGTGGTGCAGCGGTTTAGCGCCTGCCTTTGGCCCAGGGCGCCATCCTGGAGACCCGGGATCGAGTCCCACGTCGGGCTCCCGGTGCATGGAGCCTGTTTCTCTCTCTCTCTCTCTCTCTCTCTCTCTCTCTCTCTCTCTGTGTGTGTGTGTGTGTGTGTGACTATCATAAACAAATAAAAATTAAAAAAAATAATTAGCCATTCTAAAACTGAAAGATAGAACTAACCCAAATGTTTTTCAAGTTCATGTAATTTAGAAAAATGTGCAAAGAACTTTGGTTTAATTAAAATGGACATGTCTTTGGATCTGTCAGCATTTTTTAAAGGATTTTATTTATTTGAGAGAGCGTGTGAGACAGTGAGAGAGCGCCCAGGAGCAGAGGGGAGCGGCAGAGACAGAGACAGAGGGAGAAGCAGGCTCCTCGCTGAACCCGATCCGGGGAGCCCGAGGCGGGACTTGATCCGGAACTCCAGGATCACGCCCTGAGCCCAGGCAGCTCCTTAAAATAAATCTTTAAAAAAACTAAAATAAAAAATTCATCTTTTTGGAATGAAATTTTAACTTCAGTAGTACACCAGTATAAGATGGGAATTTGGTTTTTCTCTGTTAAAATGACTGAGCTTTCTTAGCTCATTGGTCTAGTTGTAGTAAAAAAAACTGTAAACAAAGTCTTTATCTTTAATCTACCTGGGAAAATAGTTTCTGTGTGTTGTCTTTATCAGGTCTTGGATAACTTAAAGTTGAATCTTATATTAAAAAAGCTAGGTTTTGCTAACAGTGATGCAACCCCTCTGAAATTGCCTTTAGAATCTCTTATTGCCTTCTTGGCTAAATAGATAATTAAGTTGGAAAGTTTTGTAAAGATCTGTAATCCTATTTAATCCTATGTATTTTAAAACCTTTTGATAAGAGACACCTGGATGGCTCAGTGGTTGAGCATCTGCCTTCTGCTCAGGTCATGATCCCAGGGTTCTGGGATCGAGTCCTACCTTGGTCTCCTTGCAGGAAGCCTGCTTCTCCCTCTGCCTGTGTCTCTCATTAATAAGTAAACCTTAAAAAACAAACAAACAAACAAACAAAAAAACAACTTTCTGTTAATTCTGACAAACTTCCCAAAATTCAGCTTCTAAAGGAAATCTTTTAAACCACTTGGGCTTGTTTACTTGGTATGTCAAGGTACATGGGAAGCATTGTCAAATAAGTGATGATAAACCTTCTTACAGGGATCCCTGGGTGGCGCAGCGGTTTGGCGCCTGCCTTTGGCCCAGGGCGCGATCCTGGAGACCCAGGATCGAATCCCACATTGGGCTCCCAGTGCATGAAGCCTGCTTCTCCCTCTGCCTATGTCTCTGCCTCCCTCTCTCATTCTGTGTGACTATCATAAATAAATAAAAATTAAAAAAAATTATTTAAACCTTCTTACATTATGTGGTGTGGGTGAATGGCTGCAACTGCTCCAGAAATCATATAAAATCCCTGATATTTTGATGTCCTGATAGTATGATCATTTGTAATTTTAATTATTGAAATGTTGTGTGTCACAGAAATAACTAAATTTCCTGTCAACTGCGTTAAAATGAATTTTCATCAGATCTCCAACCATGGCCATTTCTGAGTCTCTTGTCATTTATTTACAGTCACTATTTTACTCTGGTGCTCCTGCAATTGTTTCAACTTCAAGGAGATTCATGGAAAAGACTTTTGACACATACAGGTTTCTGATACCTTTAAGATCCCAAAATTAAGAATTTTCAGAATTAAAAAAAAAAAAGAATTTTCAGAATTAATGGGAAAATTGCATTCAAACAGAACAAGAATTAACATGGGGCTGAACATATTGAGGCAAATGATATTGTTGCTTCTCTGGTATTTGTTTTTCCATATTAAGAAGTTATAGAAACCTGAAAAAAATTGCTTTGTAAACAAATATGAAACATTTGTCTTTTTCTCCCTGTCTGCTCTCAGATTTCAGAAACTCTCAGTGAATATTATTATATTTTCATGGCAGTGTATTTATTTGCATAAGT